TTACGAAAAGTCTCGTTGGCGAAGTGCTCGAGAATCCAACGACGCTGACTGTGACGTTACCAGAAAAGCTGCTGGCTTTTAATAACATCGGTTCCCATTGACACGAGTATCGGGAGGCGGTCGGTTTTGTTTGCGAACGAAAAAGGGCTTTCAGAGAAGCATTCGACGCGAGAGTATTTACGGGGCGGCCTGTTTCTCTCTCTCTCTCTCTCTCGCCACTCGAGAGACGACCACGAGGAATCATCGAGGAGCAAGAGAGCACCCGCTGCAGCCTCTTTGACCCTCTCCGCTCGTTTTAACCCCTAGGCAATTAATCCCCTTTGCTCGATTAAACTCTTATTCTAGCTTTAATTAAAACTTCTTTCCCGGCGTCATTCTTCGGAAGGTCGCGCTCGCGCGCGCGTCACCAGCCGCGGCGATTCGCCTCTTTACATGGAAACTGAATCTGCCGCTAATTGATTTTCGAATCGTTGGACAACAAAAAAGAGAGAAAGTTCCACTGTGAAAGTGGACTCGAGAGAGACGATCTCGGTGGGAGAGACTCCGAAGAATCAGGCCAATCTGAATTGATCTGCTAGTGGAATCGTTCGTTAGAGCTTGAAAGAGGAGCTTCGTTTGAAGAAGTTTCGAACCATGGTAAAACGGATAGAGCAGAGAGGCGTACATAAGATAAACAGAGGAAGCTCAAGGAAAGTTATCTAACACACGGGAAACAAGTGTTTCTTAGCCTTTCTTTTTCAAGTCGATCATACGTCCAGTTGACCGTAGTCTACTACGTGTAAGTCGTTCACAACGGCAAAGACCTATTTCTGGCGAAACGTCCGTAGTTTAGGGCTGCTCGCCGCCTGTGTTTCTCCGTCCCGGAGAAGGAAACTTTCTTGGACCTCCCGTGGACCTCTCGTCGGAGTTATAACGATCCGTCCTTCCCGCTAACGGTTTTAATTACGAGCATAGGGCGTGATCCCCGCCGGCTAAGAAGTATTAATTACGTTTCGAGAGATAGCCCGATATCTGCAGTTTTCGCTGATTTTTATCAGGAGACTTGCGTAATTCGTCGGGAGATCTGATCTCCAGGTTAATTATCGTCGAATAATAAACCGTCTCTCGTTTTCTCCGACCGGTAGGATTAAATAATACGATCTGGAAGGAAGGGAACGTCGAACAGAGTTCTGACGTATATTTACGAGCGATAATTCCTCGTAACAGGTGATACCGTCGAAGATCTCTTTCGCCTCCCGGTATACGTCAATTAAGACGGTGATCAATCATGCTGCTACGCAAGAAACTCGCCCGTCTCCTATATAACCAACTCGAACGAACGAATGGAACGTTCACGTGGGAGTTTCAATACCCTTTGCGTTCGAGATTTCTAATCGAAGGATCGCGCCGCGCCGGTCTAATCTTCGCCTCCTTTCTCGAGAGGGACGCCTTCTTATCGCGCGTAACGAACTCGCGCCGCGCACACGCAGATTCCCCGAAATTCAATTCACCGCGACAGGGAGGGGCATAATACAAATCATCCTGGATCATCATCGATCAACCCGAGAGTTCTCTCGACGGGTGGACAAGAATGAATCAGCGAGGCTTATTCAGAGCGTATCAAGGACCCGATCCTGCGGAGTCAGTCGTCGTGTTACACACAAATCGAACATCTCGAGCTCTCCGTCCGCGAGGAACGAGCAGCGTATAAATACGTATAGTCGATCGAGGAAATACGGCGAGATCGAATATTAAATGCTCCGAGGTAACATCAATTCGGACGATATCGCTCTCTTTCGTGTTTTTTTTTTCCAAATGTACAGGGTGATCGACGCAGGAAAATGAGAAAGAAAGTTTATATGAAAATATGTTCGACCCTGCTTTCGAGTTACACTCCTTTCTATTTACAAGCGATCGGGCAATTAAAAGAATTACTAAAATACGATGGAAATTATCGATAATAATTACGTTTAGAAAGCCCGAGCCTTGAAAGACTTAAATCTTCGATACTGAAATACAGAAAACTCTATAACTCGAAAATAAGATCACATCGAACGTACTGTTACATAAATTATTCGTCTTATTTTTCTGCGCTGAATTCGTCGCTGAAGTTACGCTCACATATTACGGAACACCCTGTATACAGATTCTAGAGCGGACTGTACTCCCCCCCAGTTACCTCAACGAGACCGCTAAACAACGTAGAAAGAGAAACAGAAAAGCATGCTGAACGACTGGCCACTTAAAAATTGATCGAAAGCTTTTTATGAGCGGTCCTTGGTCAGGGGTGGTGCTCTGAATATCGTGATATAGAAAAGGAAAAGGGGAGGGGAGTCGTGAGACCGGTTCGCGATTGTTCGTGCGAGTTCGGTGGGCAAACCGCGAAGTCGTGTGCGATTCCCTCTCGTCGTTATTATACGAGGTTTTGTTTTTGTCGATGCGTCAGTTCGAAATGTTTATATTACTTTGGGGAGTGGGTATAAACAAGCCAGGACTGTGGAAATTTCTTTTTACGAACGATGATTAACAATAACAGCGTGAAATAGCGAATCGCTTAAACTATTTCGTTATTTTTACCGTAAACATATCTTACGAAGCGTTGCTTCATTTTAGGTTAAGATTAAATTACTTTCTGTTCAATTTTACTCTTTCGAAGGAAATAATGGACGATCTGGTGTGAACTTGTGTGCGTGAGGAAATTTTTATTGCTGACGCAGTTAATACGGTAGGGTTAGAAATCATTCGAAACATTATTTCGGGAAATGTTTATTCGAATAGAGAATAAAATAAAAAGTTGCTCAATTTGACGAAATAATGCAGAGAAAAATCAATCGCTCGTTCGAATAAACTAACGTATAAATATTTCCGAACGAGCTCTGGTTTCAACGCGTAAATAGTACGAAGAAATATTTTGTAATTCGAGGAGGACATGTTCGAAGTTCACTCACTCGTACAAGTCACATACGTAGCCACGTACCTTTTCATTCTCGTTCGTAAATTACAATGCTTCAGCGAAATTCACAAAATCACGTAATTACTTTGAGTATTTCACACTCGTAACCTTGTACACGTTGCCTACGTGACTACGCAGTACGAGCATCATGGCGGTGAATACGTTGAACAATTGCGCAACTATTATATTAGTAATAATGTAACACCCGACAATTCGTATTAATCGAATATCTAATATTCGTAGTAATAATGCAAAGCAATTATTCGTATAAATACGAAGATCGTACAAATGTAACAGAAAATATCGTTATCGTAAAATAGATCGCGATTTCCAATCTGCTGCACCTGCACAAAAAAGTCCGCGCAAATGCGTCGCCATGACACCTTTCAAACGTACTCCCCCCCGCTTCGCCGCAAATAAACCTACATCTTTCCAACGGCGAGAAGAAATTCTCGGCTCGACTCGCGAGAACGCAATGCGAAATAAACAGAACGATTCATACGGGGCGTCGGAAATAGAGTATCGTGCCCTGCGAAGTGTCCTCTACGTACGTTGTTTATCTACGCAATGTCGTTCTCCCGCGTAACCGACTCGAGAATCCCCACCATTATGCCTTCCTTTACTCACCTCGTTTCCACTCGTTCGGTCCGGGGTGGTCGTCCAGGTAAGAATAAGATTTCATCGTGTAGGACGAGGGTGGCCGTGGACGTCGAGGTGTAAGGTGTCCCGTGGTAGGATCGTTGAGGAGAGAGAGCACTACTTGCACGCGAGTTCGAACCGAACACTTTCGACCGCACAAACGGCGAGAAGATAGAGACAGGTTGCGTGTATACCGTACTCATCCCTTTCCACGCGTAACGCACGCGTGTATAGTTACGTGGCACACACACACACACACACACAGTCCCTCACGCACGAACACGCGACACGGTGCACGGGTGGAAGCGCGCGCGATTTCCACTTTGGTTGGAAAAAGAAGGCAGAAAACGGTACGAGGGAACGTATGCCATCTTCCTTCCACTATGGCCGGTCGACGAGAGGCGCGTGCTCGTTGCATGCCGGTCCTCGGTGTGTTGGTGCTGCCGCCGGTGGTGGGGGAAGGAACGATTGGTGGACGCTGCGTCGAGTTAGATGCTGTGGAGATCTGAAGCGTCAGTTGCGCGGTGGTCGCCGTAGCGAGTGTTACGGTTTTTGGTATCTCGTACCATACGGCTGCTTCGTTTCCGTTTCCCTTGCTATTTTTCACTCGTAAACCTCGTGTACCTTTATCCGTATCCGGGCAGACGGTAATGGGATTTCTGTGAGCAAGGATCTCAGTCACGAAACAGTGTCGAGTTAACTAGTTAACGGTAATGGGACATTCGGTGGTAAAGGTTACGGAACCCCCGGCGTTTTGGCGGAACGCGATCGCAGTGTCGTTGAATTCGTTTCGTGCAGAAGCATGAGCAGCGTCGCGGGGAACGACGTTGATTCAACGGTGAGTTAGCACCGTGAACAATTACCATTTCGAAATAAAGAGGCGAACCCTCCAAGAGTCGACGCGTACTTAATTAACACGGAGATTGATACTGTCGCGGGTACACATCGTGCACCACGGATTCTCGAGTGTCTCGGAACGTTTACCGAACGGCTATGAAGGGTACTCTCGCGTGCACGCGCTGGATTGAAAACGATTCGCCGAGTGAAGTGTGATTCTTTAAGTGTAAACTACTCTCGGAAGCACCGAGTGAAACGCGATAACATCCTCGTGCCCTCTACTGCGCTGCTACACAGGTTTCTCGGAAACCCTCGTTCCCGGGAATTCTCCCCCCGTATTAACTAACCTGAAAATATCATCGACACACGTAGTTTCGTAAATCCTAGCTCGTTCGTACAGTGAATTTTCGTATCGATTGCCTGTGCCAGGCACACATGCCAGTCACTCGGAGTAAATATTGGAGGGCGTACACAAGTGACGACAACGTGCGTTAATAACGGAACGAGGAGGAGGAGGAGGCGGTTGTATCCGGCGTGTGATGAGTAGACGACAGAGAAGCGGAAACAAGGGAAGGCAACGAGTACGCTAAAGATGCGTGGGCTCGTCGGTCTCGAACTGAGATCATCGTTGTCGTTTTCGTCGTTGTTCGCCTGTTATTACTATTTCCTTCTACCTGTGTACCACGTGCTCGCGGTGACCAGTGAACTGCCACCGCGGCTCGATTTACCGGAGCATTGTTCATGGGACTCGCGTCAAGATGGCACTGTCACGTGTGTCCATCGTTACAACGTTAAAGACACCCTCAGAACGAACTTTTCTCAGTCGACCAGCGAATACGTGACCTCGATGAACGTCGTCTGCGAGGACACCGAGTTGATCGAGAACGGTGTCCTGAACGTAGACGGTTTCGTTCAGTTGTGGAGATTGCGATCGTTGAGGTTGACCGGATGTAAACTCGTCCATTGGCCGGCGAAAGTTCTCAGCGGTCTGCGAGATCTGCGCAATCTGACGATCAGAAGCTTGAACGGGCGCAAGGGCAAGTACAGCCTCGAGTTGGACAGCGGAGCGTTCGATTCTGTCCCGCAGATCGAGAAGATTGATTTATCATGGAACAACATCTGGCAGATACCGGAACACTTGTTCTGCCCGTTGTCGAATCTCCTCACGTTGAACGTCTCTTGGAACATGCTGAAGGATATCTCGGAACTAGGTTTCCGAGACATCGCGGAGAAACATCCTCGAGCTCGTCAGCAACAAGAATCCACACCGTCGTCGTTCTCCTGCTCCCTGGACGTGCAATCTTTGGACCTGTCGAATAATCAAATTTCCGTGCTGCCTGCATACGGATTCTCCTCGCTGAAGAGACTTCGCGTCCTCAACTTATCGAGCAACGCGATCTCCATGGTGGCAGACGAGGCGTTACACGGCCTTAGGTCCCTCGAGACGTTCGACCTGTCCGGGAACAGGATCGTCGCGTTGCCGACGGAGATGTTCCGTGACGCTGCCAAGTCGTTGAAGGAGTTACGGTTGCAGAACAATTCCATCAGCGTGCTGTCGCCTGGACTCGTAGCGGATATGAATCAGCTGGTCGCTTTGGACCTGTCGAGGAACGCTTTGACCAGTTCGTGGTTGAACTCGGCCACCTTCATAATCGTATCAGCCAATTAGATCCGGCCTTGTTCAAAGATCTCTACACCCTTCAGATACTGAATCTGCAGTACAACGAGATCGAGACGATTCCGGCCGACACGTTCGCGCCAATGAGCAACCTGCACACTCTGGACCTAGCTTACAACAGATTGACTTATCTGGACGCGTACTCTTTGAACGGATTGTTCGCGCTTTCTCTGCTGTCGCTCGATTCTAATCAGCTCGAGGGCATCCATCCGGACGCCTTTCGAAACTGCTCGAGCATGCAGGACTTGAATCTGTCCGGGAACAGTTTGGACGGTATTCCGGTCGCTCTGAAAGATATGAGGATGCTTCGCACGTTGGACTTGGGCGAGAACCAGATTAGAAGCTTGAACAGGCCTGGTTTTCGCGGGATGTCCAACTTGTACGGGTTACGTATGATCGGCAACGAGATCACCAATGTAACCATGGAAGATTTCGCCGAATTACCAGCTCTGCAGATACTGAACATCGCTAGGAATAAGATCGAGATCGTGGAGGACGGTGTGTTTTCAGCGAATCCGGCGTTACAGGCGATCCGTTTGGACTCGAATTTGTTGCAGGACATGTCCGGTACGTTCGCCAGCGCTCCCGGACTCCTCTGGCTAAACATGTCCGACAACATGATCGCGCAGTTCGATTACAGTTACCTGCCGGAGAAATTGCAGTGGATGGATCTGCATAAAAATCTTATTATGGATCTCGGCGTCGCGCCACAGGGCATGAGATTACAGACGCTCGACGTGTCGTTCAACCGGCTAACGAGGATACACTCGAGGTCGATCCCAGACTCGATCGAGCTTCTGTTCGTCAACGATAATCTGATACAGACGGTCGAGCCGCAGACGTTCTTCGACAAGAAGAATCTGACCAGGGTGGACCTTTACGCGAATCAGATCGTCAAGATGAACCTCTCCGCGTTCCAACTGACCGAGGTGCCTGGTTATCGACAACTGCCCGAGTTCTACATAGGTGGTAACCCTTTCATATGCGACTGCACCACGGAATGGTTGCAGAGAATCAATTCTTTGTCGCTGAGGCAACATCCAAGGGTGATGGACTTGGAGTCTGTCTACTGCAGGCTTCCGTACGATCGCCACAAGTCTTTCATCCCGTTGCTGGAGGCGAAACCGTCTCAGTTTCTCTGCACGTACAAGGCGCACTGTTTCGCTCTTTGTCATTGCTGCGACTTCGACGCGTGCGACTGCGAGATGACCTGCCCGACGAACTGCACTTGCTATCACGACCAATCCTGGTCGGCGAACGTGGTCGACTGCTCCAACTCTGGCTACAAAACCCTACCTGGTCGATTACCGATGGACGCGACCGAGGTTTACCTGGACGGGAACAATTTCGGCGAATTGAACTCGCATTCGTTCATCGGCCGGAAGAACCTGCAGATCCTGTACGCGAACGATAGCAACATCATCGCCATTAGGAACCACACTTTCAGCGGGCTGAAACGGTTGCTGGTCCTTCATCTGGAGAACAACAAGATAAGCGTGCTGAACGGCGTGGAACTGATGCCGTTGGAGAACCTGAAGGAGCTCTACCTACAGAACAATCTACTCGCGTACATCGATAACGGCACGTTTCTTCCGCTACGTCAGCTGGAAGTGTTGCGGCTGGAGAACAATCGGCTAGGAACTTTCGCCGTTTGGCAGCTTGGCCAGAATCCTTATCTCGTTGACATTGGCTTATCGAGCAACCCGTGGAGCTGCGAATGCTCCTACCTCGACCGGGTGCGTGAATGGATGTCGAGGAACAGGGCGAAGATCAGCGACTGGAGGAGCGTCACCTGTTCGCTTGGCGTGCCTATAACTCTTCCGGCGAACGGATCGGTCATAAATTGCGCCGCATTAACGGGCACGACCTCTGTAATCGAGACTCGACCGCTCGAGGCTTATTTGCCGCTACTGCTTGCCACCGCTGTCCTCATTTTTGCCATGGTAGCGCTCGTGTGCGGCGCATTCAGGCACCGACGTACGCTCAGGACATGGGCAGCTAGTAGATGTGGCCTGAGAGCGTGTTACAAGACGGCAGCGTTCGAGGAACAAGAGAAACCATTCGACGCTTACATCTCTTACTCAGCTGTCGACGAGGCTTTTGTTTCTACCATTCTGGTCCCAGGTTTGGAGACCTCTTACCGACTGTGCTTGCATTATCGTGACCTGGGTGCCGGTAGCAACGTCGCCGACGCCGTTGCGGAAGCAGCGGATTCCTCCAGGCGTACCATCCTGGTATTGTCGAAGAACTTTCTGCACGGAGAGTGGGCCAGGTTCGAGTTTAAAGCGGCCCTGAGGGACGCTCTGAAAGGGAAGGGCCGGTCGGTGATCCTGCTGCTGGTAGGCGGTGTGTGTCCACGAGATCTCGACGCCGATCTCAAAAAGAGAATCTCGTCGCACACCGTGCTGGTGTGGGGGGACAAGTTGTTTTGGCAGACCCCTGCCATTGCCGCCGCCGCCGCCGCCCCCGGTGCAGCATCAATGGACGTAGAACTGCCATTATTTAGGTAAGATCTTCCCTCTTTTCTCGCTGTTCCTCGGTTCGATATTCGCGTAGAGGTCGGTCAGTCGGTATTATAATAATCCAAGTGAAATCGCATTAACCCTTTCGATTGGAAGTCACTTTTTCGGCCTTAAATACCGAAGGGTTAAAGCTGAACCAAAACCTACTCCCTTTCTCTTTATGTTAAAGATAAACGCTTTTACCCTTTCCTCCTCGTGGTAGAACACCATTTACCTCGACCACATCTACCCACGGGCAAAGTATGCCGATTTCATTTCCAGTTCACTTCTACTCTAAGCCACTCCGCGTCTCAAGAAGGATCTCGCTGTTCTCGAGCTTAGTCGCTCGGATTTTTATTATACCGAATCGCTTGTTCCGTTTGGCCCGTTAAGCCTCAGGAATACCCCCCCACCGTCGAGCTCGTCCGCGGTTCGATCGGATTTATAGCCTCAGCCGCTTAAACGATCGGATCTGTTCGTAAAGCTGAAACTGTTCCGTGCTAACGTCCCGTCTCTCTCTCTCTCTCTCTCTCCCTCTCTCTAACGCTCTAAAATTATATATCATTCCCAAATGACAAACTAACGAGCACTGTAGCCGTTCCATTGAACACGAGCCTCGGCCTATAGCCCGAATTTAACGCCTGGCACATTTCGCGCCATTGTCGCCGTACACGTTCAATAGGGGTCATCTTCGTTTGGGTTTTTGCGGAGACATATGGACCGATACGAAAGTATTACCCTAGGAAATGACGCCGTGACCGAAGGGGACAGTTGTGTCGTTCAATTAGAAAAGTCTATTGATCGAACTTCGGGTGAACACCCTTTCGTGAACGACACAGTCCGCAACAATTCTCACCCACTTACCAATTAAGTCGCCTTTATCGGATGGCTCCCTGCCAGCGCGTAAAGGAGCATAGTCAAAATTACATCACGCGGCTCGTTCCGTGCACCAGTATTACCTTTTATCGATTATCACGGACGCGTCGTCGTCGTCGACGTTGCTGTTCTTAATTCAATAGCCAGCCCTCGTCGTGCATTTGCACACGACAACCTCCTACCTATTCGATCTCCTCGGTGTCTAACGTTAACGTGTCCTCGATACCGAATACACCACCCCCTTCGTCACAGTGTGCCTAGCGCCTTTTAACGCCATCCCCGCGTCACACACGGCCAATCTTCTCCCTGTTGCATATTAAACCGATACGTTCTTCTATTGTGCCGCTCGCTCGAGCTCTGTGCTCTCCTTGCCACCGAGTTTTTATGAGATTCGAGCAACTGAACGTGTTATTTATCAATGAGGTCTGCTCCGTCCCCCGGGTGAAAGAGTAATTTTCCTTTGAATTGAGATGGTTTGGTTGATTAAACGCTCAGTTTCTGTCCTTCTCTCTTAGTCATCGTCGGTCACTCTTCTCTCGACTTTGTTCCTTGTGATTCTTTAATAAATAGTGACCTTTTTTCATTTTTTTCACCTGCT